TTTTGTTACTACTATTTGAATATCATTTGGAAATGTTAGCAAAATTAAACGGTGTTCACTAGTTAACCATATCGCAATTTGCATCTTCCGACTACGCAACACCTGTCACCGCTCGGATGCGTCAAGTGAACTGCAGTACCCGAATGATCTCTCGCTCCGTAATGTCGAATGCGTCAGTGGCGTAACGCATACCTACACTGCCACTTCGCCCGTTTGAGCTCTGATTAAACACACAGGCCCGTTATAAAATTAGATTAACTTTATAATAGCATGAAGCGCGGTTAGCACCAACTCGATTAAAGGGTCATATAAAGATAATTACTCGGCAGGAGATAATGGCGCCACTCGGCAGGGTCGCGGCTCGTATCAGTCTGTGTCTCGAGCAAGAGTTGTGAAAAGTGGCGTTAATGGGAGGACCTATTAACGGTGCTCGGCTGACAGGAAGCGATTACTAGGGTCCGTCTATAAGCTAGCTTCCACCGCCACAACCGGTTACTTATTCCGACGTGGTTCATGCAGATAATTAAGTGTTCATTCCATAAATATAAACGCTCCATATGTGATATAAAAATACGCATGCGATTATGTTGAAATTGTACAGCGCAGTTTCTGCGTAGGTAAATGTTAGAACGTTTGAGTTTCGTGTGTGCGACAGACGGATTTCTAACACGAATTAAAGTTTCAGCTTTCAGTGTTTTCGCTTTCACTTTTTCTATTTACTTTTCTATTAAACTTTGTTTTCCCTGTAGCTGTGCGGGATGAGCAGACTTGAGATTTATTTGCGCGATACCGTTCTATTTGGCCGATAGAAAATTCAATTTGGTTTTTACCTGAGGGTGCTCTGTGAAACCCTCGCTTGCTCTTACTCCACTTAATGTTGTTTGTTTCTTTATTTCAGAATATACATTTTGTAGGTATCTATTTTATTTGATAATTAAGCGTTTTACTATAAATTGCTGGGGAGCATACCCGTCGCCCACACGAAAAAACTTTATCAAACTGTGGAGCATAAATACATACGAAACCAGAAGAGATTTATCTCTGCCTTGTTTGTGTCTGGTTCTATTTGGCACATGAGGCACGTATGAGGGCAGCTATTTAGCGGAAATGTCGGTCAACACGCCGACGCCGACGCCGCCCGCCGCCGCCGCGCGAGAATTCAGAAAAATCTGTTCGTGTCGTGCCGGCGTCGCGTCGCGTCGTTGAGAAAAATTATGCAAGCATATTCTTTTAAAAAAAATTGCTGCTATAAATCCCTTCGCTGAATTTGAAGTCGTACAGAGTTATTATAACTTTTTCTCGGTTTACTTAACGGGTGTCTATTTGTGAAAAAAATATCTGAATGCCGACAATGGAGGATAAAAACAGTTGACAAAAGCGTTTTTGCTGTTTTCATTTACTTTCCATTTATTCTTTAAACTCGTTTGTCATTCTTTTCTCTCGACGAGGGAGGCGCGAAGAAGAAGAATGGCGTTTGTTTATGTTTTGGTAGCTAAGTGAGTGTGGCACCAACGGGGAATATCGCATCGATTTCATACGGGTTAGAGCGACTGTACTGTTCGCCAGAGTTAAATAGTACATGCCTGTACCTTCAATTTCATCCAATAGATAGACAACACGTTTATACAATACAGTCATAAAGTCTATTTACTGAATCCCTTAATCTGAACTCATTTAGCTGACATAAAAATAGATGAAAACAAAAATAGAAAATGAAAAGGACGAATTAGAAACAACAAACAACCACCGAGGCAAATGATGTTGACAGATAATGAATGAATGAGGTATAACCGCTGCGTATCGCGCGACTGCGACCGTCGACGATGGTGGGAGTGTGTCAGTAATAGATATAAATGAGGGCTCTATTTAACGTTTTGAGAGGAGGCTCGGCGTCACTATCAGTTCTCAAACGGAGCTGGAATTAATCACTTAGTCAGACAAGCGCCGCTCCCGCTGAGATATCGTTCATTTAACACTTAAAACGTTTTTATTCGAGTGGATAATTGCAAGGGGCGGCCGTAACGGCGCACGTTGCTAAGATTGATGACGTGCTGTGCTCAAACATTAAAATAGCTGGCTGAACATTTGAATAAGAAAAACTCGATTGCTGTCGAGGACTAGCGATGAAACGATCGTTTGTATTTTTTGCCTACGATTTTAAGGCGAATGTATTGGGGGTGAGACGTGGGCGCGGGAGACACGGAAGGCGCGGGCGGCGGGTGACGACTTAATACTTTTGAGAGCTTCCGTTAACTGCGAATTTAGAAACACTTTGATGTACGCTCGCCACACTGCTACCGCCGCCGCGGCGTCTTGCCATTGGTAGAAAAGGGGAATTGCTAAGTAGGCACTCGCATTATTGCCGACGTCACCCCTAACACAAAGTCTATAAAGTCGAATCAAATCGAACCTCGCGCTGGTATCTTTGCCCATAACTGCACACAATCTCCGTACAAATGAGGAGCTTGAGTTCGATTAGCTTATCAAACGACGTCTTTGGATATTTTACCAATTAAGTCGATTTAACGACACAATGTCGGCAAGGGTTCGTTAATTCTTATGACAAATAAGTAACTGTGTGTTTATGTTAATTGTTATTTCAGGTAGCATTTCCGGCATGGGTGAAGTGGGGGCGGCGCGGGGCGCGGGGCGCTGTTTACAATGTTGCGATAATGTTAGAAAAACAACGATACATTTAGGGGAAGGCCCGGGGGTGCTAATCTGATGCTGAGTGAAAAGATTTAGTGTGCGCCCGACGAAATTAATCTTCAGCAGTTGTATGAAGGCAGACAGCGCAAGATTATATCGGCGCGCGGCGACGGAGGGGCTCACAGCCGGGACCGTATTTAATTAGTAATGCCGCAGTTTAAAGCAGATAGAGAATTATGAGAAGTTGAGAACATACAATTATACTGAGAGACGGAGTGCTAGAAATAATGAACAAGTCAACGCCGACAAACAACGTTAAGTAATAATATCCCGAGGGGTTTTCTGATATTTCACTCGACTTATGCGCGGAGGAAAACAACCACATTTGCATAAATGTGAGGACAAGAGCGGATATGATAAAACGCTCTAATTTCTGAAGAGACGTATCTTAAATCAATAGAAATAAGTAGATCCTTCGAACACCTTGTTTCAATCGCAGTCGACTTTAACAACAGAACGAATGGTACGGAATGCAAGGTGACGCTTGAACTATACTCGTGCGAAGCGTTTCAGCTTTTTAATGTAAACCGTAACGAAAATATAATTTGTTTGTCGTCACAAACACAATACATTTTGACGGGAAATAAATTGGAAGGTCGACACTTTTGTTTTTCTATCAATGTAACGACGCATTTTGTTCAAAAATTAAAGTTCCCTAAAACCAATTCTACGTATTTTTTGCTATTTATCAAACAGTCTCTTTAAGGGATTGCAGTCAACTAAGAATGTGTCGAGTTGAGATAATAATACTAATGTGCCAGGCAATCACCAACCACCTGGTCTCTAAATAGAGAATTATCTGCATTATAGTAGCGAAGTTAACTCCGGAGTCATTACCCAGAACACGCAGGCCAGAACCAATTTAGAAAAACTTGTTCGCTCAATTGATCCTTCTAAGAATTGAAACTAGGACCTCATCATCAAGTGTTGGTGCTAACCACTGGGACATTGAGGTAATGATTATTTACTTTGCAGACTGCGGGTGAAAATTGGAAACTTCAACGGGCATTGAAGTGTAGATAACATTATTTTGTTCGTAAGGGCTTTGTTTGCCGATGTCTCATTTACTACGATCTCGAGGTTAATTTAGATTTATTGTAAGCGTACCTAATAATAATACGGCGAATCGTTGCAGGAGTGAGGTCGGTAATCAAAGTAGATACGTATTCCGTGCTATAGATACCAAAGCTTAAAGGGTACGTTGAACGTTCAATTGGCGCACTAGTAACAATGGAATGGGATCTTTGCGATTGGGTCGCGACTCGCGACAGCGGCGACGGCGCGGCAGCGGATGGAGATGGCGCGAGATCAAGTCTTATTTCTTCGCGGGAATATTGCACAATTTGCAATATCGACAGAGCCACGACGACACGACCGTCCTTTATGATCTTATTAACATGCGCACACTCGGCACTTTTATATTTTACGGGCTGGGAACGGAGTTCGCCAAACAATTGTTTTGTATAGACGGCATGGGTCACCTATCACAAACTCGAATTTATTTTTTCCGAGATATCGTTTGTTCGAATTTTCATTACACCAAAATATAACGAAACCGTTGTTCTTTCAGGATATGTTGGATGTTTATCGAAAAGACACGCTTAGGTTCGGTTAGGTTTAAAAGAAAAAAACATTTTCTTCTCAAAATTACTTTCGAGGTTACGAAAATTTGCTCGACAAACGTTATTTCTGGAAAATATCATTTCGGACTTCCGATAGGTAACCGACGGCATGGAACCAAAAACGTAAAAAAACTAAGTTGAATTATTTTAGATACCGTCGTCATTTTTCCTATAAATGGGACTGTAAACCACGTTTACTTTTTAGGAATTAAAAAGAGTAATAATACAAGTTCCAACTGAACGATCTGTAAATGTAAAACGTCACTGCGTTGGGAACAGCGAGTGATCGCGCTGCGAGTGTATTACCCGATATTGGAATTCCAGCGTGGCCCCGCGGCACGGGGCCGCCGCCACTCGCTTACAGTGGACCCTACTGTTTTCTAATTCGCTTTATTCACTTGATCATTACTATTTCTAAAGCGCAACTTTTCCGATACTCTTGTTTACAAAAGTGGAGATGAAAAATGCATGAGCATGAATACAGTGCAGCCGGAATAAGACTCCAGTAGACAAAGTTCAGTTCAGTTTGTGGGCTTACTTTGTGTCCCGACAGCGTACTAACATCGGGTTATGTTGTCGGTTGTTGCCCAGTTATCTCAATAGGTTCGGGGCCCGTTCTAGCTGTTTCCATATTGCACTAAAATTAGGTGAAACAAATGCAAATTAGAGATAAAAAGTTTAATGAAATAAATGTAGATAGCAAAGCTTAACTTGATCATAGTATGCAATAAAAGAGATAAGCAAGCAGGTGCAGCCTCGTCTCAGTCGGAGTCGTCGTCGATGACGACGCGTCGCTTCTTGCTTCTTCTCGTTGGCAGGACATCGTCGTCATCGCTATCGCCTGCGTCTACGCACACCAAAGTACCTATTGTAGTGAACGTCGTCCGTTGCTCTTCAACTGGCGGAGCAATGTTGACATGCAATACAGTTAGTTTTACATTTTTTTTTATAATACCAAATGAGGGGATGAGCAGATGTTCACGGTTCGCATTCCTGTGGCGGCCATATACCAATGACTTGGACGCACTACATTTGTTTTGATAAAGGTGTACTGGCGAGGGAAAAGCATGTAGTTTCGCGGAAAGTGCGAGAAGCTATCGTTTTTCTTGTTTTAATCGTGGTAGGGAATGGTCGGTACCCCCGGCTGGAAAACAGTGTTAGATACCACGTCAGCGGGTAGTGTGGATGAGACTTTAGAACGTGACGTGGTGTTGTGGTGTGCGATCTCACACATGACTTTAGTAAGAACGGAGCACACAGTGACCGGGCTGTCAGGTTTGGGGCGCAGTTTTTGTTGAGTCACCGTCGCGGGTCTCATGATGTAGGACCACGGACTAGTTCCGAACATGTACAGCAAAAATTCTACTTAAATACGTGTTATAGAACATACCAATTACTTTAATTTTTAAATTACATTTGTGACGCCATTCATATAGCTACCGTCATCAATTTTTATTCCGTGTTAACGCTTTTTTAAGCTGAACGAGTGCTTGACTACCGACCGAAAATATTTTCAGAAAATTGCGGTTATTTTTTTTTATAACACAAATGACGGGACGGACAAGTCTTGCTCTTGGGGGTAAACGACACGCCTATCCATAACAGTTGAAGTGCCACTCGGAGCTTTTAATCGTAAAGGACCGCCACTGCGTCCGTCGCTCTGAGACATAAGTTGACAAGTCTGCCTATTAATTTTACCAGCTAACTTACCCTTCCAAACCGGAACGCAGTAAAATTCACATTACCGCTTGGCGGCAGAAATTGGTAACACGGTAGTATTTTTCTGGACTAACTCTGTCACGGGGAGTCCTAGTGCTGTTAAAAATTTTTTTTACGTGTATCGATATCGGTCCAATATTTTTTTAAGATTCGATAGATCGAGACCGAGACGGGACGCTCCGCGTAATTCTTAGTGTCGAAGTGCCTATTCGAGCGGCCGTCACGCGGAACCACGGAACAAAAGCTGACGTTTATAGGAGTTGTAATTTTTAAGTCAGTTACACAAATATGGAGTTCCATCACTCAACACTAGACGGCACAACTAATGAATAGTTTTTACGATCGGTCCTCAAGTTGAATTTCTTTCTGAAAGGGCACCGACCCAATTTCGTCTGGCAATCCAGGGTGTCCGACGGCCAACAACGTACCGTCCGTGCGCCCGGCCGGCGCGCCCGGCTCCGCCCCGCGGCTGCGCTTGCGGTCGGCCGAGGCCAGCTGGTCGGCGTCGGCGCCGGACTCGTCGGCGACCGGCTGCCCGCTCACGGCTTTCAGAATCATCTCGCGTCGGCTGCGGATCGCTTCGAAGTGCAGGCTGCTGGGTATCCGCCAGTACGCCTCCTGCGGGCGCGTTTCGTCGTTAGCGAGGAAGCCCGCTCTGTGCGTGTCTATTCATTTCTAATAAAATAACAGACTTCCCTACAAAATCCAAACTCGAAACTAAATTAAAGTCTCTTCTGATAAACGGATGTTCCTACAGCGTAGAAGACTTCGTGGGCGATAAGACGATGCGAAAGAAGCGGTGACCGCTTCAACTCCGTAATTTAATGTGTCTATTTTAACAATCTTTAGTTTATGTTCTGTTCTTGTTAATTATTCGAGAGCACTATTAATTTGCTACACCTCGACGGGGTTATGTTTGTCCTTAGCGATTACGTGTGTAATGTCTGTAATGGCATTGTTTGCAATAAGTAAATGAATAAACTCCTCGGCGGGGCGGCGGCCGGAAGTACCTGCTCGTCTGCGGGAGGCACGACGCCGATCCCCCTCAGGACTTCGGCGAACAGGGGGCTGGCCGTGGCCTCGACGGCCTCCCGCGAGATGGGCACCAGGGGGGTGCCCTCGGCCGCGGGGTCGTACCCTTCCGCTTCCTGGTCGAGGGCCACTTCTTCCAAGCTCTCCGCCAGCCAGCTTAGCGCTTCCGAAAACCCTGTACAAAAATATTACTGTTCGGTCGATTCCGGTCGAGGAAAGGGTTCTCCTCGGTCGAAGAAGATAAAAGATATTACTTAAAAAAACGACGCCCAAGCACTCGTCGGACTCGTTGCGGCGGTGGCCATTTTATTTGTAAGAAAATTCCATATATAAACAAATGGAAACCGCTACCTCGGGCGACGGCTCCGGCGAGCAGACGCGCCAGTTCGCCGGCGCCCGGCCGGGGCGGCCTCTGCGGCCTCTGCGCGGCCTCTCCGCGCAGGTCGGCGGGCGGCGTCGCTTCCTCCTCCGCGTTCGTCGCTGCCGCCGAGCGGCGAGCCCGTCGCCGGCGGGCCCCGTCCGCGCCGGAGCGCTTGGTGGGCGCGCGGAAGACCAGCCCCAGCTGCCGCAGCTTGGCCAGCACGCCGCGCCGCGTGCGCCCGCGCTGCACCAGGTTGTCGAGGATCCAGTCGACCACGTCTGCGGGCCGCGGCGAAACAGGCGCACGAGTCAGCTCGGAGTCGCGACCGGAGGCTCTTGGATAATCGCACTCGCGTCGGGGAGCGGCCTCCTCCGCCGGGCGCTGGACCCGTCCGCCCGGGCCGCGCCGGCGGCGTCTAACTCGATGATGGCATTACACTAATCGGAATTCACCCAATTTTAAATAATTCCGACGCAATTTTGCAAAGCTTTAAGAGCAAATCGCGTTAGAACGTTCCCGGCCGCTCCGCTTTGTACCGGTCGGAGTTCGACGTCGACGCGGCGGGACGGAGTGCCAGCCGGCGGCTTTGAGAGGCCGCTCTTTTTGATACGGTTAGCCTCCTTAACAATATTACAGTTATTTTTGATACAAGTGCGGAAAGTTAGACATTATTCACGAGTCTCGAGGCTTCTTGGCTCGAGTCAGAGGCGAGGGTCAAGACTCGAGACGACGTTTTTTAACACATTTGCGAAAAAACTACATTGAAAGTAAAATAAAACAGTATATTTTAGATGCGCGGCGTGCAGCGGTCTCGCGTAATACTCACCTCCGGTCATTGCTTATACTCAATCGGCCATCTTTATGGAAAATATTTTGGTATTTTTAAATATAATCCGTTGTTTTATAAAACACTTGCAATTTAAACAAATAAGGTGTTTGTAAGTAAGTATAAGTTTTAATGATGAATGACTTACGTCACAAAACACATAAATATTAAATAAATATATAACCACTTTACTTCTATGTTTAAGATTTGAAACAACAGTAAATTAAAACAAAAATGGAAAAGTATAAAGCACTAGTGCGAAATATCCAACTTTCGGCACGATTTGTAGTATGAAAAATACCATGTTTTGAGCAACTATATTAAGAATGATATCTATTCATTCTCAGAAAAGCAAGCTTTCATAAAATATAAATTGAATACCAATTTAAT